TAAGACAAAAACTTTAACTATATATATATATATATATATATATATAAAATTGATGCTAAAATAACACTGACAGAGAGTAAACATTGCTTTTCTAAAGGTGGATAAATGGCTCACATTATTCTGGGTCAGAAGTGTTTGAAAAGCCAAACCTAGTTCTTTGTGGCCTATTTTTATTACCTAACGAGAAAAGCACAAAGCAGGGCAGTATATGTGTAAAGACACTAGCAGGCCTGTATGCATGTAAATGCACTTACTCTTCAGTTTGTTACGAGCATTGTTGGCCATTTTCTTGATATCGTTAGTAAGCGCCTCCAAATCATCCTGTGTTTCTGTTCACAGAGAAGAAAACAGAAGTTAAGCAGATAGATAAGAATGGAGACATGAAAAGGAGACTGACTGCTGGTTTGTGTGTGTTTTGTCATTGTTAAACACTCCTAGAGGAATGTTTTATTGCTCAGAGGTTGTTCTTTCTAAGCTTAGGAGACTAAATCGAGTTTCATGTACACTACCGTTCAAAAGTTTGGGCTCGGGATTTTTCTTTGAAAGAAGTCTGTACTGTACAACTTACTGTAATGTATAATGTCTCATTTAATCGACTTCAATAAAAACTGTTAATAAACAATATGTCCTGTAACACTTACCTCAGGAAAGCCATGCAATATTGATAACTCATTAGTCAACTAGAGAGGAGCATTTTGCTAAATGCACTATACTACATATTCATTATATGTTTACTTAACCTGTTAGCCAGGTCTTGTTAATCTATACTGCCATGAGTATATGAAAGCTTATATTAAAACTGGTTTGTGTGCAAATTAAATGTTTGTATACAAATCTGTGTCAATACCCAGCCCTAGGTCTCTTTTGATAACATTGATAACATCTTGATAACATTAAATAATGCATTAGGTATTGTAAATGATTAAAAACATTTTTACAACAATTAATCAATTGTTCGCTGTTAATATATATTTCTTCGTAATTTATCTAATGTTAACTTATACAGCTTGATAGGTTAAAAATTTATTAGCACATGTAAACTGTAAAAAATATAATTTTATATTAGAACTTGGCAATGTTTTAGGCAACATGACAATGTTTCAGGTATTACTGGATAGCATATGGGTTCCTGTGTATTTTACAATGAACAGTAAGTAAATAGCAGAAAATGTGACTCAAAACACCCTAATGTACATTAATGATTAAAAAAATTAGAAGAAACTAAATTATGTAAAAAAAAATAATCATATGTGATTATATCCTTTTATTCATTTATATAAGCTGTATTTTTTGGTGTTTTGCCTTTATTTAAATAGGACAGTGTAATGACAGGAAGTGAATTGAGAAGAGGGGGCGGGATCAGGAAAGCTCCACGAGGTGGGATTCGAACATGACATGTCCTTTTATTCTTTTTCGCTGTAAATTATATGGTAGTTTCCTATGAATTTGACAAAATTTTACAGTATTTTTGTCACAGTTAGGGTACAACGGGGCTAAAGGTATACCTTAAGAAAAAATATGCTATTCACTGCGCCTAAAATGTATAATTGCAGAAAAAATACAAACGTTTGTATTGAACGTTAATGAAACAGCAGATTTTGTGTGAAAATAAATCATACAAGTCGTCTATTTTGTTTAAAAATCGTATAAATGTTTGAGGTGGCAAGAGGGGCCTTTTACCCCACACACGGGGTAAAGGCTCAACAGCATGGGGTAAAAGGCACACATTTTTGATACAAATACTTCAGCTAAAATAATGTTTTTTTTTTAAATAATGTCTACTGTAAGTTAATACCTGTTCAAAACAATCACTTTAGCAAAGTTTGTACTATTTTAGATAAGAATGGAGACATGAAAAGGAGACTGACTGCTGGTTTGTGTGTGTTTTGTCATTGTTAAACACTCCTAGAGGAATGTTTTATTGCTCAGAGGTTGTTCTTTCTAAGCTTAGGAGACTAAATCGAGTTTCATGTACACTACCGTTCAAAAGTTTGGGCTCGGGATTTTTCTTTGAAAGAAGTCTGTACTGTACAACTTACTGTAATGTATAATGTCTCATTTAATCGACTTCAATAAAAACTGTTAATAAACAATATGTCCTGTAACACTTACCTCAGGAAAGCCATGCAATATTGATAACTCATTAGTCAACTAGAGAGGAGCATTTTGCTAAATGCACTATACTACATATTCATTATATGTTTACTTAACCTGTTAGCCAGGTCTTGTTAATCTATACTGCCATGAGTATATGAAAGCTTATATTAAAACTGGTTTGTGTGCAAATTAAATGTTTGTATACAAATCTGTGTCAATACCCAGCCCTAGGTCTCTTTTGATAACATTGATAACATCTTGATAACATTAAATAATGCATTAGGTATTGTAAATGATTAAAAACATTTTTACAACAATTAATCAATTGTTCGCTGTTAATATATATTTCTTCGTAATTTATCTAATGTTAACTTATACAGCTTGATAGGTTAAAAATTTATTAGCACATGTAAACTGTAAAAAATATAATTTTATATTAGAACTTGGCAATGTTTTAGGCAACATGACAATGTTTCAGGTATTACTGGATAGCATATGGGTTCCTGTGTATTTTACAATGAACAGTAAGTAAATAGCAGAAAATGTGACTCAAAACACCCTAATGTACATTAATGATTAAAAAAATTAGAAGAAACTAAATTATGTAAAAAAAAATAATCATATGTGATTATATCCTTTTATTCATTTATATAAGCTGTATTTTTTGGTGTTTTGCCTTTATTTAAATAGGACAGTGTAATGACAGTGAGAAGAGGGAGAAGAGGGGGCGGGATCAGGAAAGCTCCACGAGGTGGGATTCGAACATGACATGTCCTTTTCGCTGTAGATCAGGAAAGCTCCACGAGGTGGGATTCGAACATGACATGTCCTTTTATTCTTTTTCGCTGTAAATTATATGGTAGTTTCCTATGAATTTGACAAAATTTTACAGTATTTTTGTCACAGTTAGGGTACAACGGGGCTAAAGGTATACCTTAAGAAAAAATATGCTATTCACTGCGCCTAAAATGTATAATTGCAGAAAAAATACAAAATTGAACGTTGAACGTTAATGAAACAGCAGATTTTGTGTGAAAATAAATCATACAAGTCGTCTATTTTAATCGTATAACTTAAAAATGTATGGGGTGGCAAGAGGGGCCTTTTACCCCACACACGGTATTGATACAAATACTTCAGCTAAAATAATGTTTATTTAAAATAATGTCTAAGTTAATACTTGTTCAAAACAATCACTTTAGCAAAGTTTGTACTATTTTATGCTTATTTTGAAAAATAAAAGAATTAATTTTTGTTCAATAAATATACTGTCATTAAAATATGTTAATATAAAAATATATTTCAAAATACAGAAACAAAATCATTTTAAAAAGTAAAGATTCTGAAAGCATTGAAGGAGATCTTATAATAATTGAATATAGATTTACTGTAGTAAAAACAAATTATATTTGATTATATGATATGATTAATATCATGTTTTTAAATATGAAATGTTTTCATTCTAAACATGGCGATTATCTCTAATATGGACACCCAACATAATATATGATATTTACCATCTGAATCTAACCATGCCATGTCAACAAATGGAAAAGTCAGCCATCTATGAATTATGTTAATTATTGTGCCTTTAGCCCCAACAGCAGGGGCGCTTTTTACCCCAAATAATAATTTATAATTTATAATAATAATTTATGCATTTAGCAGACGCCTTTATCCAAAGCGACTTACAGTGCATTCAGGCTATACATTTTTTACCAGTATGTGAATACTGTAATCACAGTAAATACCATACTTTTACATATTCTTTCGTTATTTAAATTCTGTTGCTTTAATTATCTTAAACAAAAATCATTAAGAAGACCTGTCTCAAAATATATACATTCATTTGAGCAATTTTCATTTGCTACTTAAATCTACAACATTTTTAAAAACATAAAATATTAGATCAAGTAAGCGCAGAATCAACTTTGCGCTGCTGTGCGCGATCGCGTCAAGGATCAGCCAAAAATACACGTGCATCTTGAAAAGCGAATGGCTTGGAAAGTGCTATGCCACGTTTTTGTGCCATCTAGTGGTTTAGATGAAAATAATATCACAGGCGCCTTTTACCCCGGGGCGCCTTTAGCCCCATTGTACCCTATGTTTAGTTAGTTTCATTTTCATGGCTTTTAGTTTTTCTCATCACCTTATCGTCACTTTCCTGTTTCCTTTTTCTAGCTTCTTGCCATTTATCACACTCATTAATCATCACAGCTGTTTGTCATTTTTGGTTCATCATCACTGTGTATTTAAGTTCCTCTTAGTTTTCTGTTCATTGTTGGTTATTGTTTTGTACACACTGTTACTTACACGTTTGGACTTTGCTCATTAAAATGACCTTTGTTTTGTAACTTTTGCCTTTTCTTCATCTTTGGAACTTGCTAAAACATGACAATTTTACAGTAAAATTTACATATAACGCTATGTTAAACCAATGACTATTTTTCACTGTATATGGTAAGGTAACAGTTAATCAATTAACACGTTTTTAATGTAACATTTTTACAGTTTTTTAAGAGATGTGCTGTTCTAAACATATTTACAGTGTTAAAATTAACATTTAGCAAATGCAGTAAAAATATTGTTGATTGTTAGTTCCTGTTAACTATTGCATGAACTAATACTAATGAACAGAACTTTATTGTTAAGTGTTACACTAATGCATTAACACTACACACTAGTTGTTATATAACAACATTACTATAGTATATGACTCATGTTCAATAGACCTCAGAGTCTATTTCACCTGTTACTACCAGACAGTGGAAAACAATGCTGAACTGGGTCAAAAAGCCCACAATGAGTGCACATGTGAACGTCTCTTACTCTGGTCAGATGTTGGTGCAGAAAGAATAACTGAGTAAAGTTTCTTCACTTCGGCCACATTCTCGTCGATCTTATTAATGCTGTTCCTGATGTCTTCAATCTGAAACAAGCAAATAAAGGTCACTTAAAATGCACAAACACCACAGTGGCACACATTCATAATAAAGCACATCAAAAGTGTTTTCACAAACACACACAGAAGGACATGCCTGGGAGAAGAACTCATCCATAAAGGCAGCGTTGTCCACGGCGATCTCAACATCTTCATCATCATGATCGCATGTCTGAAACATAAAACAAGAAGTGCTTTACATTTTATGTATATTTTTTATTATTACCATAAATGCATTAAGCAGAATTGGGCTAAGTAGGATGGGAACAGGCCACAAACAGAGGCTGTGACGTGTGACGCAATATGTTGACGATACTTGTAACTTAAGGAGATAAGAAAATGTCATGTAAAGAAATAAGGAAATATAATTTGTTTTAATGATCTCATGCTGTTTTTCTATAAACCCTTATATTGATATGACTGGTAAGTAAATCACTCTCACTAATTTACTGTCTATTGGGTACAGTACTGGGTAAACTACTGGGTAGTTCACCCAAAAATAAATATTCTCTAATCATTTAAACACATTTAAGCTCCCCCCTCCAGTGGCCTCAAAGGAAATCTGAGCCTTGGCTGCAGAAGCGCCCCCAGACGGCGAAACGATTCCCCTTTCCAAAGTGTCAAGGTCCCCGACCACGAGTTGTACTGGACCCCGAGCCACCAAAGCCATCCTTATGCGCTAGAGAGGAAGAGAAAGAGGAGGGGCTCTGTTCTCGCCTCGGCCAGAATGCCCCGCAAAACAGCTCGCTTTCATCCTCCATTCCTCTGACCACCAGTTTCGTTTCCAGCGTGTCACGTCCTGCAGGTGCAGCGCGTACCCGAATGTTTTACTGCTGTGATAGCGGACCCACATACAATAAAGAGCTAATTTCCTCTTCACACTCTCTCACACACTCATGCGAATGCAAGTTCCCCGCCTTTTCTTGGCGC